AAACAATGCACACTTTGTAAAGCATGCAGGCACAACTCAATGAGTTTCATTGCCAAGAAACGGGGAGAGATTTCCTTAGACGAGTCCAAAAACAAATTCAATGAGGCTACTGCAGTCACTGAGGTCAATGTTAATAAGTCACTCCAAGAATCATTGATTTCCTTTTGGTAAGCCACTCTCCAGGCCTTGCGAAGGGTTTTGCTCGCTTCCAAATCCTTAGATTGGTTCGAGCCATGAAGCAGCCTGTTGACTCTGGTAGGCCAGCTTGGGCAAACATGACAGTTTTAACAGATTGAGAAACAAGAGACGGGGACTGTGAAGGAGGATGCACAGTTCGTGTACTTGTGGTTGGTGGTCACCTCATTGAATTGGTAATACATGGGGCTCGCCTTGGGCTTGATCAAGTATGGCTGTTCACCTGAGACCATTGAGACATATTGAGACCATGTCAAAGTTTAGAAGAACAGGTTGCAAGTAAGTTTAGAAGAACATTGATGTTGTGAGTTGTGCGCCGCCCAACCTCCCGCCTTTGTCAACTCCACTCACCATTGGGCCCACCAACTCATGGGAATTGAAATAGGCATCTGTGACACCAGCGTCCTCCATTTCCCTCAGCAGTTGCCGCAGCTGCAAATGCTTGAGTCTTGAGTGCTTTTGCCCTTTTCATCGGGCACTTCCAATACAGCTTCCTCCATATCGCTGGTCCAAGAGATTGGCATCACCCTGGCCAAATCACCTGGCAAATAGCAGTATGGTACTCAGCACGGTAACTATTCAAACCCGATTGCTAAGTCACTGAATGAGGGCTGAAGGGAATCGACGTTCAGACTTATTTTCCAACACAGGCGGTCCCATGTTCCATCTTTTGGTGATGCAAATCACCATCAAACCCCGGTTAGGATAATGACACTTCGGTCAGTGTCACAAAAAGTGCAACCTAGCGTGCTCTCACAAAGCCGTATCCGACAACACGGATGCCATTGGACAACAAGTTCGGAACCAATCAGAACACATTAAGTTTTTCTCTGAAGATGTGTTGGTCAGCTAGGTTGCTTCCCCTAAGTACACTACACAGTGGAATCATCCACTACCTCTTCACATTCAGAGATTTCAACAGCAGCAGGATTTGCCGATAAGTTATCGGCTTCTTCCACTGTCTTTGCCACTTCCGGCTCCTGCCCTTGCGGCGCCGCGAGAGGTTCTGAGACATCCACGGCGGCTTTGGTGCGCTTCGCTGGAACCAGGCGCCTCCTGCTCAACTCCGAGTGAGACATGTTTTTCATTGAATTAAGTCGCTCAGGATGTGTTTTCCACCTGAAGCAATGGGGATGGCATCGGGGGTTGAAATGATTTTTGGGCAGGCACTCCTCTCTGGCCATGCTCAAAACTGCCTTCTTGGAAAGAGTGAGTTTTCCTGCTGTAGCCTCTTGGTAGATTCTTCGATGTGCTTCCAATACACAGATCGCATGCCAGGAAGGCCACAAACTCCACTTTTCTTGGCCTGGTCCACGCATGGATGTGTGAGTTTTGCTGTTCAAGGCAATAGGCAATATAATAGGTATTGCACTCTTGACTCTTGACAGGTTTCGAAACCAACTAGTCTTGAAAAATGGTCACGGGGCCTTTTTGTCCACATCATCCTCAGCCTCACCGTTCTGCGCACCCTTAGCCTTTCTCTTGTTTGATTTCTTTGGTTCCACTATGTCCTTTGTCTCCTCCTTTGCTGCCTCCTGGTCCTTTGTCTCCTCCT